GATTTGCAGTTGGCAGTATAACAGTACCATAAGCAATTGCTTCTAAAACTTTTGAAGTTACCTCAATGGCTTGCAACTTTAACTCAACGACTTTAGTTAAAGAACTTTCTTGTTTGAGTACTCTGACAATCATTTCTGATGCATCAAACCAACACTCAACAAAATCTCTCATTATTTCCAACTTACTCAATATCTGACAAACCCATGGCAAATCAGTCAAATAGGATTGAAACAACAAGACGTTCCCTGCTTCAGAAAGTGATTCTGTTGAACCACAGAACAAATGTATCAATGAGTTGTTAAACCGGGAAAATAGTCTTTTCACACATTCTTTTACCTCAAGTTTTATCTTGTCATCAGGTATCAACAAAGGGGCATCATCATCCTCAGTTAGCATGTACTCAAGTTGCTCTTGCGCTGATGCTTTCAGATCACTCATCGCCGATGAAGGGGACAACGTAACAAAGCGTAAGGCCGAAAGAAAGATGTTCCTGATAGCTACCTCGTTAACTGGTTGAAGCCTAGCTAGGATAGGCTCAGCTTGCAATCCCATCCTCGGTACAATCTTCAATATCTCCTCCTCTTCACTCTCCTCCCATGGCATTGCTTCCAAGTAACTCACACACGCAGCAACAATTTTCGGGCAACCAAGCTCAACAGCCACTTGCAAAATCCCAAGAGTATTTCTCACACCATGCCACAAATCATCACCCGAACAATCATCATCGACAATGTACAAAAACCTAACAACATTTACATAGTAATCAAAATCCGATTCTTGGCAATTAATATCCACACAGTTGCGCGAACCTAGTATCTGACAAGTCGGCCAATTCTCAGAAAGCCGGTCAGCAAAATACTTGCAATTCTTAACAAGAATCGCCGAGTGACAATACATCCATTCATCTCGACCTTCTTGCGTCCGTAGCCTCACCACAATATCGCTAGTCGATTGATCACCAATTACAAACACAATCTTCTCTTAGTGGGTTCCATTGAAATGAAGAAGACTATGAAGCAAGATTGGTTGAAGATGTCATAGTAGCCTAAGGTGATTAGAGGAAATCAGCAGGTGCGGTTGGGAACGATGACGGAGAGAGATCTTTGGAGGCTCTTGGGTTGCTCTGTTGCTTGCGTACTTCTGGTTCTTTACCATATATCCTTGTTGTAACCCATTTGCTACTTTTGGTTTTCTTAACGAAAGACTTGTTATGAAGCATTGTAGCGTTTCAACCTCAGTACAATTTGAGGCACTTCGGTGAGTTGAAATGAGTTTTCTTAACTGGAATTAACACTGTGTATAAGCTTTCTCTACTCTGCACTTTTGGTTTGTGTTGAAGTGCTGTTGTAGTACCGGTCTGCCGGTTAGCGTTAGGAGGATATGTGAGTACCCAATCATCAGCAGCAGTCATAGCAGCAGTACTCTCTTGTATTCGCTTCAAATTAACATCTAATGCTTGTTCAACACTAGGTCTAAAAAGTTTCAAAAGCACAGGACAGAGAGCCAGGCCACGAGCTTCCAACAATGAGCAATGGCCCAATGTTATTTGAACACACTCTGCAGCAGCTCTTAAACCTCCTGCAGCTGCTGATGAAGCTAATGCATGCCTTTTCACCAGAAGAGCAAATGCCTCGGTTTGCCTGGTAGCCCACATCACAAGTTCAGAAGAATAAGCTGGCTCCTCACCAAAAATAGTCAGCGAGTCGCTTGCAGCAGAAAATACCAGTTGTGCAAGAGCTGCAGTATATGCTCCTCCATATGAAGTGTTTGATGGTCGGAGACTTTGCATGTTATACTGATATCATTGCAGATGAGCATTGAGTAGCAAGCTGTGAGCATGTGGACTATCTCCAAGTTTTTTAAGGGCAGAAACTGATGCGCGGAGTTCAGCGCCACGGGTAGAGGGCTGACAAGCAGCTTCAGCAAACTGATCAGCTAACTTTTGCCTACTTTCGGTAATAGAATTCTGCAGAGACAGAAGTAAAGATGGGTTGAGAGATTTCATCTCTTTTGCTTCAGAGACAACACGTTCTCCTTCATCAAGGTCAGCTGTCGAAGGCGTGATTCCACCCAACCCTTCCAATTCCGCAAGTCATCGACATCAGCAGCAACTATATCAATTTGCAAGAAGTTTTTGTAGCCTTCAAAGAAACGGTATGGTTCAAACAGAGCCCTCCAACAGCTTTTATTTAAATCTATATCCCCGCAAATTTTGTTGCCATGTTGGAACTGCTCCATCATAACTCGAAGGGTGCTGGTAGAAACATTATAACTTGAATTCATGCATGGATAGGCAGGAGTGATGATTGGCATCAGATGGGTTCGGTCACGAGGATTTTTGCGAGGATGCCACAATGAAAACCCAAGCTCGTTCTCTTCTATTGGACATAACATGACAGGATTAGGCCACCTCCACTGTGTGTATACCCTAAAGAACCGGGAGACGAGCATGCTCGGAACTGCATTTAGATACATCTGGCACACTCGAGCTACAAGAAGTGCCCAGTTCACACCACCAAGAAAACCTGTCACATTGGAATAAAGACCTCGTATTTTGGCCCAATACTTCAAGCAGCGGAATGTTGTTCGAAAGTACTCAACATTTGGAACAAGCTTTAGAATTTGATCTGCAACCCTACAACCATTTAAACTTCGAACGGTAGGCTCGTCAACATTGTGTAGAACAGAGACATCAGATATATCCAATTCTTCAGGTACAATCAAACGAGAAATACTAGCATAAAGAAGGTCGATCGATATTCCATCAAACTTGAACTTCATAACTGGAACATGAGCATCCAGAATTGGCTGCAGTTCAGTAACTTCATCCAGGCCAGCTAGGATCTCCTGCAATGTGTAGAAAAAATCACGCTCTCTGTTAACATAGGATGGCCCAATACAAAGTGTATCTAGGTCAGCACCAAGACCATGACCGCCAAGCCGATAAGAACCAAAAGTGACTATGAGAGCATTTGCATCTTGGACCATTTGATCAGTGTACCCCTTCAGACGAGTCAGCTGCTTTACCCAATTTTTTACAATCTGTTCAAGCCGCTGAAGGACCTCTACTCTCTTGGAAGCCTCCTCACTTCCCTCATAAAGCCCAGAATCAGCCAAAAACTTCTCCAATTTCTGAGTGCGTTTCAAATCAGCAACGGTGGGCCCAGCCACTGAAATTGGCTTGGTGACACCATATTGTTTCAACGGCGGCGCCTGCAACGTGGTGGCGGCGATGTGCGCACAACAAAAGGAATGGATCTGTGTAAGTGGCGGCCATCAAATTGTTGGTCTTCAACACTAGATGACATACAACTACTTCTGCTGCAAATATGAAAGGAACCGAGCAAAGGTGGTGAACTTTGTAGTATTTTCTTATTTTCAAGTAAAGTTCCCAGAAAACATTCAAATTTTGGGGTGCCGGAGGATACAAGACCTTCAGCTCCAGACTTCAACTTAGACTTCAACTTACAGCTAACAAGGAGCAACCCAGCAGCATACAGCCTCAGTATTGAATTAAGGGGTTTCATAAACTGTTTATAATGTTCTGCTGTTTTGTTCAAATATGTTGCAAACGTGTGACAAAAACTTGAATTTGCAATCTGGCATTTAAGGACACAATAGTATACAAGTTCAATAAACTTGATTCCGACATTTTCCTCGTCAACCTTGTTTTCACAAGAAAAACAATCCAGTATATCCATGATATACAACAATTTATTCTCACCCAGCATGAAAAGTATGGAGCACATCTTTTGGGAAATCTTGAACAATTGATCTTTAAATGAAGATTTTGCATACTCTATCAATGTTGTTCGGCACAAAGTGATCACCAAGTCTTTATCAGAGAAAGATGCCTTCTCGAGGAAATTTAAAGCACATTTACCCAAGTGATATGCTAAGGCCTTGTGAAATTTCTCATATGAATTGGAATCCAATCCCCTAAGCCATGGCCTTACTTCATCCATCAAACCTGACTTGTACAGACAAAATTTTGAATCTTTGATTAAAACTAGGCCAAACTTCTCATAGAACACTGCTTGAAAGCTTGATGAATTGTGATACAAGACAACTTGACCTTGAACAAACACATTGCCTGAGAAAATAGCCCACCACCACAGGTAACTTATAGTTGAAGCAAACTCTTGATAGTTTGACCAAGATGAGGTCAAACGTCCATCTGATTTAAACTTGAATGAATGTCTTTGTCATCAGTCTCCTTGCAAAACCCTAAACACACAGAGAAGAAGAAGAAACAAACAAATTGAAAAATATTTTTTGGTATTTTGGTTAGATGTTAGTAAACAAAAAAGAAAGTAAGAAACCCATAAGGGTGCGAAAGCCAAAAGTATGACCTTGTTTGTGGAATGATATGCAAATGAAATGTGGGATCTTAGGGGTAAAAATTAGGGTATTACAGCTGCCCCTATTTAAGATTCTTCTATCCGGAGATATGAAGATTGACATCTTTGAATTTTCTTTTGGAATTTCTTAGTTAACAATATTTTATTAAAAATTTTAATTAAAACAATTTACGACAATGTTTATTGAAATATTTTTTTAATTTATATTGTGTCATTGTTTGTCATTACATATAAATATATATTAAGATAGAGACATAAACATCTAAATTTTTATTTTGTAATTAATCATACAAAATTTGAAAAATAATGTAGCTATTGATGTAACTCTAAGCAACCTTGTGGTTTTGAAGATGAAGAAATAGAAAAATAATTTTTTTTTAAACATTTCATGTGAACTTGTGAATGGAGAACATGTACATTGTTGGGTATGAAAACCTAATTAAGAACAAAAAAATTTTACCATCAAAAAATTGTTTTATAGAATACAAACATCATTATAATTTTGATTAAAATTTGCCTAAAAGAAGAAAAAAAATTTGAATCAAAGTTCATCTTTAGTATCCATATCATAATCAGCATTCTCGTTCACCTTTTCTGTTCTCTTATGAATTGTTTCTCCAACAAATTCAGCTGCTGATTTAACAGTTTCTTCCTTTGCTTTTGTCAAAACTCTTCTCAACGGCTTCTTTTACACCACCCTTTCCCACACCCCTAAAACTGGAAAAAAAATACACAACATTACCATCCATTGCTATTCGTATAAAAAACCAATTTAACATTTAAATTCATTAAACTAATTCTTTTTATCACCCCACTAAAAAATGTATATATGGCATGTGGTGTGATCCAACCCACGCTGAGTCAGATGTCTCTTTACAACTATCAACTTAATTGTAAGATTGTATTGGTGATTGAATACTAAATATGAAATAAAATTTTGTGAATGCGCTAACTTACTCCAAATTTGGTGGTGAAAACTGCATCTGAAGATCATGAATGACAATTTTGATTTTCTCCCATGTACTTTCTTGGGATTTTCTGAGTAGAGAAACTGTGTCCATCAGAAACTTGTTAAGGACTGGTTTTTCTGGATAATCTTCTGCAACATTTTGGCCACCTTCATTAGGGGTTACTTGTTGGAACTGGAGAATTATTAAGATGATGCAAAAAACAAAAAATTGGAGTTTATTTTCCATTCTAATTATAAAACTAATTGTTGAAGATTAGAGAGAAAGAGAAAGACATGCAAAAGTATATGGCTCGTTTTAGAAGTTAGCACATTGCACTACGAGGGATTCTCATCTTGCATCTCGTGCTTCATATATTTGAATATTTCAAACACTATAACTATAACTATTTAATGTCAAAAAATAACTATAATTTCTTTTCCCAAAATATAAAAAGATTTTTTTAAAAAAATATGTCTTTTGTTTGGTTAAACGGAAAGATGAACTTTTTTTTATTAATTTAGTTTAATGATTAAAGTTTTAATGTGAATAAATTGGATATTGGGGATATGGTGTTAAAATTCAAACCAATTCAAATAAAAATTCAAATTGTTTGAAGTCTTTGAAGTACCGTAGGTAAACGACATCTATATAAGTGATACTCTTTTCTATAAAAATCACATTGTCAACTAAATATAGCGGGTATGCTCTCGTAGCACACGCTCTATGGAGTCCCACCTACTCGTCATCACCTCTTGCCTCCTTAGTTCTAAGGATGTCATATGTATATTTTTTTTTAATTCAAATCTAGCATGAGCCCCTCTGATATTTTCAAACTCACTCATGGCATCCTCTGGATCAACTTCCAAATAGTCTATCATCATTTCGAATGATATATAAGTTTCCCCCTAATTGGAAGATGCAGCAAACACAACACATCGTCGAGTGTGATAGACATCTCACCAAGCAGAAGATGGAATGACGTTGTCTCAGTGTGTTATCACTCTATGAATGCATTAAGCATCCAGTGGTTGACCGTAATATAATTGGTCAAGCATAAGTAATTCATCCTAGATAGGGACAAAATAGCCTGAAATCACTCCTCATTCGACTGGGGAAAGCCAGTAATCTTCCGCTCATGGCTAATAAACTTTAGCGGATCACGGTCTTGCAGAAAAATAAATCAATGTCAAAAAATTGTAATATAATAATAAAGTAATTTAAAAAGAATGAATACAACTAATATCATCTCTCAGTCCCCATATATGTCTGACAGTATGGTATGGGTACAGAGGTAACAATGACAACTCTATAGGACCTTCTCCAAATTCTTGAGGTGACTCATCATCCTTAGCAACCTCATCAAGCGGAGGTGGCACTAGCTCAAAATCCTCATCAGCATGAGGTACCTCCGATACTTGAGGTGGCACTGGTGCCTCAGGTACCACAGGTGACTTAGGTACCTCTGACGCCTGAATAGGTGTTACTTATCGCATGCAGGAGGATGGAAGCAGTGATGTGTTGGTACATGAAACCTATCTCATACGAGAAGAATAAGAAGAAGATGGAGAAACATGAGCCCTAGAAGTAGATGCCTTTGCATAGCTAGAGCGAACATGAACCTCCGAAATATGACTCTTCTTCCTCCAAACTAATGCATGTCGTGTAATTCTCTCGTGCTTTAGTCTATCATCTCTATCAACCATAATGTCTATAAGTAAAACAGACAATTGGTACAAACAACCATACACTCAAAAAAAGAAGGAAAAAAATTAAAACATGCTAATAATTTATGGAGATGCATTTCCGAATAATGTGAATCCAATATGTGAGGGAAAGGCTCCTTATTACTTATTTTTAATGATGTCAAAACTTTTATTAGCTCATACTTTGTATTTTGGACGGCATCACCGTCTTAGATTGCATTCACCCTTTAAAATGCACAAAGTAACCTAAGTTCATGTGTCCATACATTTAGGATCATCTCATATATGTTATGTGTGCATTTGATCATGTTAGGTAACTTAGATATACACAAAAATTGCTTAGGTGGACCTAAATGTGAGCAAATAACCTATTTTTGGAGTTTTAAGGTCTTTGTGTCGACTCATGTCCTGTTCCGGTCGATGCATACATGTTGATTAAAAACATTTTACTCTCGGGTAGGCTCACGTCAATCCTTTGGTCGACTCATATTTAATGCATTAAGATTTGTCGTTTTGAAGTGAGCTTGCATCGATGCATGGCTCTAGTCCGATCGATGCATCGCTTGATTTCTTGAATAATTTTGCCTTCGGGTGTGCTCAGGTCGATCCTCTAGAAGCTTTGGTCGACCGTTCGCTGCAGTAAGTCAATTTTTCTAATTTGTTTTAGTTTAAAATGTTGTTATGTTAGTTAGTGGATCATTATATATATATATATATATATATATATATATATATATATATATATATATATATATATATATATATATATATATATATATATATATATATATATATATATATATATATATATATATATATATATATATATATATATATATATATATATATATATATATATATATATATATATATATATATATATATATATATATTCATTTTGGTTCATTATTGTACACGACATAACAAGAAAAGTGAAAGATATACACTGATTTTTTATCATCATTTTCATTCTCTCTTGCATTCTTCAACCTTTACACATAATAATTTTTGTTGATCGAGTGCATTATCGAGTTGATAACGTCCAAACGTAGGATTGTGTATCTAGTTTAGGTTGAGGAATTAGTGGGTTTTTATTGAATAAAACCATTAGGGTTTTGTCCTCCAAGATCTTAAGGATTTGGGGGGTTTTGGCACAAATCTTTGCCTTACATATTCAGTTGAGTGAAAGGTTTGAAGAATAGTGGGTTCAATTCAAACAAGTAATGATAACTAGAGGATTGTGAAGGAAGATTTAGGGTCAACGTCTTGCGATCAAAATCATTCGAGCAAAAGGTTTGAAGAACGAAGGGGTCTTGCAAACAAGTAGTGGTAGCCAGAGGATTATTCAGAGCGTTTGACGCGCTTGATTCGACTTGAATCAAGGGGAGAGAAGGGAATAGTATCAACTTCAACAATTAGGATTCAGTGGTGGTGACTATTGTTTCTCTTGTATAAACTTTGCAGCATGATAATAAATATCTCAAATCTAGATTTAGAATTGGGGGCAGACGTAACCGAAGCGAGGACAAAAAGAGGAACTGCCTAAACAAATCCGGTGTTGTCCTCTCTTTCTCTATATATTTTATTTGTGTTGTTTATATTTGTGTAATTTCGATTGTTCAATAATTTCCTCTGTGGTGTAGTGTTGAGATTCTGTTTTGTAAATCCAATTACAATCTCTTGGATTGTAATTGTGAAAAATTTTGCACTAAAATTGCAAAGGAAAGTCAACTTGAGGTGTTGTATACACCAAGTGTTTGACGAATCGAGTGCACACGAACTATTTGTGATATTGTCAATTTTAGTTTACCTTTACAATTAATTGGAAATAGGATAAACTAAGTGGAAATTACTTGTATTGATTAATTTCCAAATTGTTGATTCATTTTCTCATTAAGTGTTTATTCCATTTGCCTTGTCGCATATTCGATATTTTCGATAACGGTTCATTTAGAGGATTTGGTTCCTCGGCCGCTTCCGCACAAATTTTAAAACAAATTATTAAGTGCCGACTCTTGTAATAAATTAGTGATCTATTCAACCCCCTTCTAGATCATTTACATCCTCTAACAAGTGGTATCACGTGCACCAATTCATCTAGTGCTTTGCATATAACTTTTTAGAAAATGACTAACGAACAAAAAGGGGCTTACAATAGAACACCGGTTTTTACGGGTGAGAACTATAGTTATTGGAAAGATTGTATGCATGTGCATATCAATTCCATTGATAGAAAGGTATGGAATATTATTCAAAATGGTCCTATGTAAATAACCATGACCAATGCGAATAATATTGTTGTACCTAAGTCAGAAGCACAATGGAACGAAGAAGATGAGAAAAAGTATAGTTACGATTAGAAAGCTAGAAATATTCTAATATCTTCTTTGGGAGTTGATGAATATTAGAGTTTCCCATTGTACTACTGCTAAATCTATGTGGGACTCATTTTAATTTTCCCATGAGGGAACTAATGATGTCAAACTAGCTCGAATCAATACTTTGACACAAGAGTTTGATCTCTTTGACATGAAGCAAGGTGAAACAATTGCTGAAATGCAAAATATATTTTCTCATGTAATCAATCGCTTCAATACACTTGGAAGACCCGTTTCCAATGAAGTTGCTACTAATAAAATTTTGAGATGTCTTAATTGGGAATGGCAATCGAAGCTCACGGCGATCAAGGAAGCCAATAATCTCACTACATTGGACATCATAACTTTGTCTGGTAAGCTTGATGAACATGAGCAAGTGCTCATTAGTCTTGAAAAACATGAGAAAATAGAAAAGAAAGAGAAGGCGAAAGACAGGGACAAGAAGTCTATTGCACTTAAGGCTTCTAGCTCAAAATCCTCAACATAAGAGCAAAGCGGAAGTGAATCTAATGATGATGATGAAGATATGAGTGAAGATTTGGGACTGTTTGTGAGAAGATATTATATATATATATATATATATATATATATATATATATATATATATATATATATATATATATATATATATATATATATATATATATATATATATATATATATATATATATATATATATATATATATATATATATATATATATATATATATATATATATATATATATATATATATATATATATATATATATATATATATATATATATATATATATATATATATATATATATATATATATATATATATATATATATATATATATATATATATATATATATATATATATATATATATATATATATATATATATATATATATCCGGAAAAATGGAATTCAACACTCGGACAAAAATCTCATCAACTTTCAACGATAATCAAAGTCCTCTAATAATGAAGGTAACAAGAGTGATAAGTCAAAAGATTCATGCTACAATTGTGGAAAGACTGGTTATTACAAGCCAAATTGTTCATTGATAAAGAATGACAAAGGAAAAGAGAAGAACCGTCAACAAAAGAAATCGGGCAAACCTAGAAGGGCATACATTGCTTGGGAAAGTGATAGTGAGCCCTATAGTGAAGATAGCTCAAGTGATGAAGACAAATTA